CCATCTGCAAAATATCAATCAGTAGGTAAATAAAAACATCTGAATTTAATTCATAACCTTTGAGAAGTTTAGAACCCCTGCATTCTCACAATTTAAGCAAAAAAAAATATTTTTTTAAAATTTCAAAGTAAAATAACTCGGTTATTTTGGACTTATTAAATTTGAAAAACAGTAAAGAAAAAATTTGTTTCTTTTATCGAGATCTACCAGCCCTGAAAATATTTTCATGTATATAAGACTCATTCTATTGTATATAGTGCTGTATATACCTGGGCATACGAAACTCAGGGCCTTAAATTATTGAACATCGATAAAACTAAAATCATGTGCACTCCCTCGGAAAATCATAACAATGCTATACAAATTGGAGAAGAATTATTGGAATATGTTGCTGAATTCCATTACCTCGGCAGTTTGATTTCGAAAAAGGCAAACATCGACTAGGAAATTCAGCACAGAATTCGCAGCGCCTCAAAATCATCCTGGAAATTAAAAGACAGGGTTTTCTACAACCATTCCTTAAGCACAATAACGAAAATTGAAGTGTACCAAGCAATAATAATTCCAATCATGTTATATGGAAGTTAAACCTGTGACCCTTGCCGACGGCATGCATTAAACAAGCTGTAACAGAGAAACCTTGACAAATGTTAAGAATCAAATAGTCTCACTGTGTCTCAAAGGCATCGGTCCCGGAAAAAGCTAACTGCAAGAGCGCTGAAATCATGATTACTAAATCCCGCTTTAGATGGGCTGGGCACGTATGCAGGATGCAAGAAAACCACCTACCTAAATTTCTCCTTTACGGTAAGCTTGTAGACGGTAGGAGGAAATTGGGATTAACATCAAAATTAGTAGAAGGAAGCAACGCACAATAAAATGCAATGGAGGAGGATTGTAAACTCAGTGAACAACGACAACCAAAAAGTAAAAAGACAACGCAGTAATGATACTTTTGAATGTCCGAAGTGCGGAAGAAAGATCAGATCACGTATCGGGCTTATCAGCCACAGAAAAGCTCATCAAAGAAAACGCCCATCTTCTGATGCGTATAGCGAATACTCGTCAGTGAGTAATGGCAATAGTACAACTAAATACATTGAGAGAACGGCAATGTTACGTTAACGTGGATACTGGGGCACGAATTACAAATAAGATATAAAATGGTTAACCAAACCTCATCAATGCTATTCATAGTTCCAAAACTCTTGTGCGACGCTGCAAAAGCAGTTATAAAATTTGCCACAAAGCAGTTGGTGGTCAAGAAATCTCTAGAATAGTGGACGAATTTACCAGGGCAGAAGACACGGGAAAAAGTTCATAATAAAAATTTTTATATTGACAAAACCGAATATCTCTCAAAAACAGAACACTTTTTAAAAATAGCAATTTGTACGAGTTGAATAAAAACCGTATAAAAACTCTTTATGTGATATAAAATAAATGGTGCTCCATTTGAAATAGTTGAGAACGGTGTAGATATTAAATTTAGCCCATTCCTCACTGCGAGTATAACATTACTATAATAGCAGAATTTAGTATGATTAGTTTTCAAGACTGCACTATTATAGAATACTTTTAATTAAAAAGAATGAATGACTTGCGATTTTATGATTCTGATGGACATTTAAATGTGTAGATAATGTATGAATCTTGATATGAAGCTTTTTCAGAATATTACGATACTTACACATAATTACTTTAACAATTACCTGTAATAATACTAAAACAAATTTAAAAAACATAAGAAAACGTTGCAAATATTTATGAAATAAAACTATGGTTAAATATCGGTAAATTTCCATAAGATACAATACAATATCACTTGCCGTAAACCCCTACACCACAAGTTTGTTAACATAAAACGTTTCATGAATTAACTAGGTATACTTTTTTACTATTACACTATTGGAAATGCAAAAAAAATAACGTCTAACCCTATTTCACACATCTGATATTATTTTATTTCAAGGTGAAAATCTTGAACTTATGCAAGAAGAAACCGCACATTAATTGGATTTTCTAAAGAAACTATAGCAGTTAAATATTGTACAGAGCTTTTTATTGCTAAAATTTAATAGACTTGTTCAGTTAGATGTTAATATGGTGAAGTTATACTAACCTATATTTCAGGTATTTAATTTATGGTTCTTTGGTCGTATAACAATGGTTTATTTACTTTTTAAACACTTTTAATTAAATCCTCAAACTGTTTAAAACAAAGAAAATTAGTGTATCAAAAAAATATCAGAATAAAATTGAATTTTTAATGTCTGTATTTTTGAAGTTTAATACGAGTATAAATCCGCCTACATACATACCATACCGCAATTACTCGCTGACGAGTATTTGACACGCATCAGAAGATGGTCACGCAAGGCGTTTTCTTTCATGAGCTTTTCTGAGACTGAAAAGCCCGATACGTGATGTTATCTGTCTACCGCACTCCAGACATTCAAAAATCTCATTGCTTTGTTGCCTCTTTGCTTTTTGGTTGTCGCTCTTAAATGACATTCCGTTCTATTGTGAGCTGCCTCTTCCCACTCATTCTGCTTGTTAATTCCCTTTAAGTTTTCGTGGAAAATATCCTTGAACCTTTTGAGTTGTCCACCCGGCCTCCTCTTACCGTCTACAAGCTCACCGTAAAGCAGAAATTTTGGTATGCGGTTTTCTTGCATTCTGCATACGTGACCAGCCCATCTTAAGCGGGACTTTGTAATCATGTCTTCAATACTCTCGCAGTTAGCTTTTTCAAGGACCGATACGTTTGAGACATGATGGAACCATTTTATTCTTATGAGTTGTCTAAGATGTCTCTGTTGCAACTTGGTTAATGCGTTCATGTGTCGGCGGTACGGCACCTAGGTTTCGCTTCCATATAACATGGTGGGAATTATTATCGCTCGGTACACCGCAAGTTTCGTTTTTGTGCTCAAATTTTGTTCATATTATTTCCTCTTTAATTGAAAATAGCAATAATTTATATAAGGTCTGCATAGAAAAATTTCGATCAACTATCGGTGTTAAATACCCCACTGTGCGCCGTCTCGCGCTTATAAACTTGAAAAATTAAAGAGTGTTGTCAAATCGTCCGGTTCACAGTTAAAGCAGGTTAACCAGCGTTCATCGGCGTTCTGTGTTGGCGTTCTCACTTTTACCGGAACGAAAATTTAGTCTATTTCTGCTTCTGCACGCGCCGACGCGCGACGGCTCAAAAAAGTGAGAGTGGATTGGGATGATTTTTTTAAATGGGGGGGTTAAATTTTTTTAAATTTAACACCCTGTATATTATTGCATTTTTGGCTTCTTTTTTGATCACTTTACATAATCCTAAGATATGAGTAAATATATTTTGATCATTTCAGAGATATTAATAAATAAATAAAAAATAGATATTTTTCAGCCTTTCTTAAAAAATCATTAAAAATAGAAGCACTGTCCTGAAATCAAAACTATATTAGGTATTTACTTTAGGTGGTCTGTAGTTACTTTGCTATAAATATGGTTATCGTAAATCATACAGGATGTTCAATTCTACGCCAAACTTTCTAAAATATAAAATATTTTATCTTGTTTTTTTTTAAATGGAACACCCTGTATATTATTTTTCCAATAGATGGAGAATTAAAAAATTAACATTTTTTGTATTTAGAGTATTTCAACATTTTTAACGGTTTCGCAGATATTCGCGGTTTTATTTTTCATATGGCATTTTCCATAGTAAATTTTTATCAAAGCCAAATGATTTTTCTCTCGTATTTTACCGTTGAGAGAGCTTTGATATGAAATTTAATAATACTGCGTGTATCTGCGAAACCATTAAAAATTTTGAAATACTTTAAATACAAAAAAATGTTAATTAGTATTATAAATTAAAGTATTTATAGAAAATATGTAACGAAGCACAAGAACTTTATATTTGACTTTAAGTATATTAAAAAAGGTGTTTATCATTACTGGCAACTGTATATGTTGAAGATAAACGCATATTTGTATGTAGAAAAGCTGAGAAAATTAAGGGAAAGTAACAAAAAGACTTGTTAAGTCGCACTCTTGAATGCGTAATCAACCATTAACGGCAACGGCCACATTTAAAATAACAGGAAGTTATTATATCATTTTCTAACTGTAAATCGAAAGTAATCGACGAAGACTCCTTATATAAATTAGTATAGAAATACGTGAAATTTCTGCCTCTAATCAACGACACTCAAAATATACCTCTATATCGGTTAGGTTAAGTGAAAATTGCATTAATAGTCTATGGTAAATACAATGAACTCTTTTCAATTGTTGATTTATTTTTAATTTTATTTTTACTCTATAAATACATAATACATATTCTTACATATTCTTACGAAATAACTAGCGACGTACCTATTTCGATTTTGGACAAAACATCACCCGATGGGTCTCCCTCTAAAGTAACAATATGATCGAAGGCTGTCCAATACAAACAGACTAAGTGCCATTTAAAAAACTATATGTTTGTATAAGAATATCCTAAATGCCATTCGGAGGTCTCCTCAAAGAATGCCAAATACCAACCGCACTGCATAGTGTTGCATGTTGCATCGCATTTGTAAACGTGGGAAATCTACAAATCACATACATGACTTCGGTACAGACAAGCTAAGCAATGGTTCCCCAAGAACTACAGAAGGGCATCATGTGGGCAAAGTGTCATCCCCAGTTCAGATTTTCGATATCGAATCTCTTAAAAATATCGCCGAAGATCTGATTAATACTAAAAATCTCGCTAAATAACGTATGGTCCTAAAGTTTTGGGAAAATTTTCATCTGGTTTGGTTAAGTAATAAAATGCATTTAATGAAGTAGTCATGATAATGAAATGTCATCAGTCATGTCACTTCAATAAACAAAGCAAAAGACTTTGGGTTCTGCTTCTTAAAATGTCTTATAAAATTGATCTTCGTCGAGGAGTTTATAATCTTGTTGGGCGAATTCGGAGAGTGCATTTTGTCAACAAGTTGATCGTGATGGACGATGAGAAATATTTCACATTGTGCAACTCTGAGATGAAGGGCAATGATGGCTTCTACACGGACAATTATGTGAATGTCCCTGATGATGTGAGATTAAAAAGTAAAAAAAAGTTTGAGGACAAAATTTTCGTATGGTGTGCCATTCCTGAGGCTGGCTTTATCTCACATACTTACATTGGCGTTGTTCGGGGTGAAGCCTTAAATGCAGAGCTGTATATCGAGAATTGTCTCCCTAAACTTCTTCAGTTTTTGAACACGCATCATGTGGATGACGAAATAATATTTTGGCCGGATCTCGCTTCATGCCATTACGCGAGAATCACAAGGGACTGGTATGAAGCGAACAACATCAACTTTGTACCGAAAGTAGACAATCCCCCTAACCTACCTCAGGCTCGCCCAATCGAAGAGTTCTGGGCAATATTGAGTAGGAAAGTCTACAATAACGGGTGGGAAGCACAAAACGATGAACAATTGCGACGCCGTATATTCAGAAAAATTAGAGAAATCGACGCTCAAGTTGTCCAAAGGATGATGCAACGCGTCAGCGGAATTCTTAGGCAAATCGAAAATAACGGTCCCTTGTCCACTGTTTGAATTTTATTTTATAATTAGGATAGTAAATATAGGTTATTTAAAAATATAATAAAAATATAAAACTAATTTTATAAGAGTTGTCAGTTTCTGAATTTTTTCCCCAAAACTTTAGGACCATACGTTATTAGTAAAGCAATCATAATCTGTATTGATAGGAAAGATCTTGGAGTAGCAAGAGTGGCATATACGTTCAGTTAAAACTTCTGGAACGATTTTGATGTCAATATGACTCCTACTGATAGAGGGCGCCACCTACATGTGTTTCAACTGTTTTGAAGCTTAATAACTTTTTGTCTGTACCTGTATAAAACTACCGAGGGAAAAAATATACATCTCTGTGACTTTTTACGTAAAAAATATCTCTTTGTGAAAATCGCTACAAGTAACCGTTCTCAAGATATTTAGAATGGAAATAGTCAATACATGTCATTATTGACGAAAAATAAACACGTTGAGTAGATAGTTATTTCACTGAAATAATAAATTTGAGAAATTTTTATTTTTTTAAATTAATCATAAATTTTTCTGCAAAAAATGTTGATAAAACAGTTTCTGTTGAACTTATGACACAAAAGCTTTCAAATTTATGATGTCAGTCTAACAACTATTTAGTCAACATGTTTAATGTATGCCAATGATGACAAGTATTGATAATTTCGATTCCAAAGATCTCAAAAACCAATATAGTCGTAGCGATTTTTACCAAGAGACATTTTTTACGTAAAAAACGTCGTAAATGTATATTTTTTTACTCAGTAGTTTTTTACAGGTACGGACAAAAAGTTACAACTCTTCAAAACATTTAAAAAATATGTAGGGGGCGCCCTCTACTAGTAGGAGTCAAATTGACATCAAAATCAAATTTTTCAAGTCAAAAAACTTCCAGACACCAATTTTCATCCAAATATTGACGTTACTGCAGAAATTATTTGAAAAAAAATGAAATAAAAATGAAATTTCTACACCCTGTATCTCCGAAACTAAGCATTTTAGGACATACATTTATACGAACTTTTTTACTTATCTGCAGAATATGCTGCCGAAGTTTCCGTAATACAATTCGGACCACCCTGTATATCTGTTTTTAATAAATTTTATTAAATACTGTTAGTATGGAAGGAAACAAACAAAATCAAAAGTATGTTAAGGGTAGCTCAACTGAAGAGAACTATAATGGAGAAGGCTAAAAAAGACCGAGTTAGGAACACAGCCTTTTAGCACAGAATATCTAGCTACGCAACAGAAAAATACTCGAAATGAAAGAGCTAAAATTGCACAAATAGAATACTAGATGGCGCGACAATATCATAATCAGAATATAATTAGAAATTTTGAACTTTCGGTTTTGGATCGACGGCTCGTCGACGGCCTTATAGCTCGGCTAAATATGCACAGTTGCCAGATTCAAAAAGACTTGAATTAGCATCCCATTCTTTTTATTGTGTATAATGCAGTATGTGTTTCTTTCTATTCTTCTTTTCTTGTCAGACACACTTATATTAATTATTCCTTTGGCTATTAAAATAATTTTAAGTATATTATTACAAAACATATACATTTTTAATATACACTACCTTATAATGTTAACTAAGAAAATACCTTTAAAATTAATAATATACAGGGCGATTGATAGTGATATTTATTAATGCTGGAACGTTAGTAATGAAATATAAGTTTAATAATAATGGAAATAATTTATTAAAATGCAGTACAAAAAATGTTAACTGACTAAAAAATACTATAATAACAAATTTCTTCCGTTTGCCACGTTATTTATATAGACCTAGGTAGATTTTAAAAAAGTGACACAGGTACAATTAATAATATATTAGTTCGGCATAAAAGTTGCTGTCACGACATCGAACAATAAATTAAAATTCGTAAAATAAATTAAAATTATTAATTAAACAAATCTTTATAAAGAAAAGTATACCAAATTTGGGCCCAATCGAACTCCAGGAAATGATATCATAATAGTGTCCTATATTATGGTACCACTCGATATACTTTAAGGTACCATAATATTGCAATGTCACCGAAGATCCGTAGTATACCAAATTTAAGAACAATCGAACGCCATGAAATGGTATCGTAATATGGTACTATATTAAGGTACCACTTTATATACATCATAGTTCAATCATATTACAATGTCACCGAAAATACGTAGTATACCAAGTTTGAGCCCAATCGAACGCCAGGAAATGGTATCGTAATATGGTACTATATTAAGGTACCACTTTATATGCATCATAGTACCATCATATTACAATGTCACCGAAAATACGTAGTATCCCAAGTTTAAGCCCAATCGAACGCCATGTACGTAATATAGTACTATATTATGGTACCAGTTGATATGCTTCATGGTACCATAATAATGCAATGTCATCAAAAATACGCAAGTATATATCAAATATGAGCTCAATCGAACGCCAGGAAATGGTATTGAAATATGGTACTATATTAAGGTACCACTTTATAAGCATCATAGTACCATCATATTACAATGTAACCGAAGATACGTAGTATAACAAATTTAAGTCCAATCGAACGCCAGGAAATGGTATCGTAATATAGTACTATATTATGGTACCTCTTATTATGCTCCTTGGTACCATAATATTACAATATCACCGAAGATACGTAGTATCCCAAATTTAAGCCCAATCGAACGCCATGTACATAATATGGTACTATATTATGGTACCAGATGATATGCATCATAGTACCATCATATTACAATGTCACCGAAAATACGTAGTATACCAAGTTTAAGCCCTATTGCCGCCATGTACCTAATATTGCTATGTCATCAAATATGGTACTATAGAAGGTACCACTTTATATGCTCCATGATACCATGATATTACAATGTCACTGAAGATATAGTATACCAAGTTTAAGCCCAATCGAACGCCATGTATCGTAATATAGTACTATATTATGGTATCACTTGATATATGCTTCTGAAAAAAACGGCGTCCAGTTGGCTGGAAAAGTACGATCGATGACATTTCCCATATAAATTTACATATAAAATGACAGTGAAATTCATTTCATAGCTATCGCTAACGCCGTTTTTTCCGATTATACAATATGAACTTGGTATGAACACAATCGAACGTCAGGAAGTGGTATCATAATACATACATATACAGTAGAACAATACTTATTATATTGTCGCCGAATTACAATGAAAATTCAGGATTCAATTATACAATCAAACGTCAGGAAGTGATTGTAATTTAGCTCATAAGATTTAATTCCAACTAACATGGCACACTGAAAAAAACAGCTCTGATCTATTTTAATATGTTTAAATGATGTAGCAAATTTGAAGGTAGGCTTTATCAGGAAGTATTACGATATGAATTACACAATGGCAACACTGCACAAAATTCTTTTAAATTTTGTTTGTAGAAAACTGTTTTCTTTTAAATTTATTGCCCGTTAACAAGAATGATAGGGGTAGTTTATTTCAACCCCTTCCACTCATTTTAAAAAAGTGAAAAAATTACCAGAAAGTGTGTTTTCATAACAGTAATGCTTCCATAAAATTTTATTAGTCTATCTCTTTTCGTTTTCAAGATAAAAAATAAAAACATTATTTTTCCGCCATCTTTGTACCGTGATATCTCCCTAATGGTTGACTTTTGACCCAACGTTTATAAAGCAAACTACCCTTTATTTTGAACAAGGAATCACCCCCTACAGGACGTAATAAGATTGGTTAAATGCATGGAAGAAAACAGGCTTCCACGTACAGCTCTGGAAGGGAAGCCGGTTGGAAAGAGACAGCCTGGAAGACCTCCAAAAAGATGGAAACACACTAGTCGGTAGTCCACCTCTTAAGAACTCATAGACACTTGACAATCGAAAACGGTAAAAAAATATGTGTTTGTACAAAGAACGAAGATGTACAACATTCTTTATAAGTAAAAAAGAAATCAATCAAACCAGAGAAAGTAACAGAAAAAAATTAAGGAAGTTATGCTAGACCACTAATGGTACATCCATTCAGAACAGGAAACTATGATATTTTCGTTCAACTATTTCAACTGTAAATTAAAAGAAACAAACGCCACCATATATGAAATAATAAAAATAATTTTAAATATTTCATGCTTGCTGTGATGTGAAATTATAGCTTGCATAGGTACTTCTCAATGATTTATTGTTAAATAAAGAAAATAAAAGTGTAATAATTTCCACACTTTCTGAAGATGATTTTAGTGAAATGTTTTGTAATGCTATGGATAGCAATACCTAGAAAAAAACAATAAATGTTTTTTAATATTCTAAAAGTATTGCAGCTTTTTTTTCTACTTATGTTTCGACTTTATAGTGCTATTCAAGGGGCGGCTTAAAATATTTTTATTCTTATATCATTCATAAACAAAGACTATAAAGTAGGTAATGAAACAAATCTAAATTTTTAAAAGATTTTTAGGGCAGTTCCTTAGAATTATAAGACACAAAAATGCGAAATCTATAATATATGGAAAAAACAACCAAACCAACACCTCTTGAAAATAATACTTTTTAATAATAAACTTGTAAATAAGAAAGCATACCTACTTATTTACTGAAAATTAAAGACAATTTTGGTTTCCATCTCCCACCGTCGATATATGTATACCTAAAACAAAACCAAACCAAGTATTAAAAAAGAGTATTAATAATTAAATATCAAGATATAAAATTATAGGTTGCATACATCTCATTGTAGAAGCAAAAGCAATTAAAAAAAAAAGATAAATTAAATGATCAACAATTCTGATTATTATTATATAAAGGATGGGCCTTCTTCCTCTAGGAGATGCGAAACCTTGTCGTTGGTGGGGAAGCTCCTGATCAGGTGTTAGTGGCAATCCCCTCTGTAACTTTAGCTGGGTCTAAAGAGCATCTCATTGTCTTGTCCCTGACTGTAGCGTCGTGGCCAGGGAATTGCACCAATATGCATAACGATGCCGGATGAGACTACTCTGTCCATCATACCAGGCACCCTCTACTGTCTCTGATCATGTATCACGGGCAGAGGGTGTGGGGGGTCTTAGCTTAACCGTCCGGACCAAGAGGAGACAACCTCACCAAAAACCTAGATCCTATGATGGCGGGACCAGGCCAAAGGGATGCGTGGTTAGATAGAAGACTAGCCTCTACTGATCTCAACCTTGGGGCACCAGGGGGCAACCCATTGTATTCTCGTCTCCCTTGCAGAGCTCTGTAGAAGTGGACCGACTAACCCTTGCGGTATAATTGACCTCAAATCCAAGGAGGCCATAGAAAAGTAAAAGTAAAGATTTCAGTTAACGTTTCCTTTTTGCTGCCAAGGCTAATCTGGACGGGGCCTACTTTGTTTACGCGGAATCCGAACCGCGGTCCTCGACATATCATGCTCAATGGCAAGTGTCTAAATCAACTCTTACTCACGAGATATCCGATCTCATCCGGCCTCCAACCGGCGTGAATCGTGAATGAGCAGTGTGTGTCAATAGATTTTACACTTTTGCCTTTATTGGACAACGGCATGATACAGAGTTTTGAACGGGTCACCCGTCCATCCACTAGTATCGCCTTACGTCGCTTAACTTCGGTGTTCTAATGGGAACTGGTGTTTTGACGTAGCTGGGCCGTTGCCCTAGGAGGCAATAGAGAAAGAGGGATTCTATCACAGATAACATATGTTCTCTGTGATTCTATTATAGATTCGTGACAACACCGGTATCAGGTCTAAGGAGAGACCAAGTTAAAAAGGTAGAAAAAATATTGACAGATCCTCCAGCCTCCACCTCAAGGGTACCTCAGCCGGAGATAAGCTCCTCGACTATGAAGGACATGGAGGGCTAAACCTCAACCGTGGAAGGGATACCCTTCGTACTATATCGTAACTATATTTTTTCTTCGCCGTTTTTCGAATAAGTTCAAATTAGCCCAAATATTTTATTTCGAAAATTAAAAAAAAATTGGCTTAAATTTTGAATATCCAAACCACTGGATTTTTTCTGTTTTTTTTCTCAGTTAGGGCAAAGTTAGGGTTTACTCAGTACTCTACAAAATTTTTATGAAACCCCAGTTTTTTAAATCCAGGTCTGTATTTTAAAAAAAAAAGTTGATGAGGGTTGCCAAAAAACGAAACGTTTGATAATAAAATATCTAATAACATCAACTTTTGTCAAGCAGGAAAAGTACCAACAGAATGTAACAATACATTTATTTGTATTGTCATATCTTTCCAAAATGAAAAAAGTCAAAAAAGAAACCGAGAAAATTCGTTTTTCCCTAAATATCAGCGGTAGTAAGTTTTTTTAGAATTTGAAACATGATGTCAGAGTTCAGCATGGCGCCAATCGAAATGAATTGAATGAATTAATGAATATTTTAGTACATTTGCAATTTGGTATTTATCAATTCGAATTTTTTAAAATTTTACATTCATTTATACTAATTTAAAAAGTAATTGAAAAGAAAATAATTAGTGTTAAATGAGACTTTTGAAATAAGAAAATAAAAATTTCTGTCATCCGGGATAAATTCGGTCTCACCTGGTTTATTTATCCTGGTATATTAATTTGTACTAATCGTATACGTCATTATATACAACACGTTATGTCATATCCTGCTTTATCAGCATTAGGCTCTCAATCATTTTATGATAGTAATTTATAAAATTTGTGATTTATAATGATGAGTTATTCGCACTAATACACTAATTTATTTCTACTGTAATTTCGAAACGAAAATGGATATAGACAACAGTAGCGTTTTGGTAGCGTAGGTTATTTATACAGTGTTGGTCATTTATACATGTATTGCCAGGTTTTTCCTGATCCCGGAAAATCACTATATTAGCCCGGAAATCGTTAATCAAATTATAAAATCAAATGTTATAAATTTGACAAAGTAAAAAATACCCACAATATCCACTTTCCTGTTATATTATTCCATAACATTTTTCGATTTAGCTTCGTTTGTTCATATTTAATTATTTATCTTCATTTACATATGTTATTTTATATTATTAACTATTATACCTTCGTTTATGTTGTCTGTGCTTGTATCAATAAAACATGTTTTAACTATCATGTTTTAACTGTCATTTCGTCAATAAAATCATAACCCCAAATCAAATGACAATGACAATTACTAAAAAGAAATTTTGGATACGTGTAAATTAGCCTTAAAAATAAATTATAAAAAATAAAACAAAATGTATACCGGATGCGTCTCAAAGGTGGCTCACCCCTATAACGCTTTTATTTTTTCAGGTAAAATAATGAGATTTGGCATGTTAGTATATGACATAAATTAGGATTGATTGACGAATTCAATTGTTTTCGGTCACTTCCTGTTTCACCCGAAATTACTACAACTTTTGATTTTTAAAAGGTACCCTCGGTATTTTTTTACTTTATTCGATAGAAAATGACACTCTGAATCGAATGACATATCATATGTCAACTTTTGACATATTCACAACAACAAACAAATTGTATTTTAATTTAAATCTAGCCATGGCTGGTGTTAAAAACACTAATATTTAATCAAGGAGCCTTGAAAAAATAGATTTGATCGTCTAATGTTTTAAGTGTCCTATCCTGGCCGGTTAAAAGATACCCAAATCGTATTTTTAGTCATATTTCAATTTTTTCAAATGGAACGAGAGTGGCTCATTAGCATATTTGGAAAAAGCATTTTTTTTAAGAATAATTTGATACCACATACTTGGTATTTCGAGTCAAATTGTCATTTAGGTTAGCTTAACCGCATATTACAATGTCAAATAAACCATATGCCAAAATGTCAAAAGTTGACATATGATATGTTATTCTATTCAGAGTATCATTTTCTATCGAACAAAGTAAAAAAATACCGAGTGTGCCATTTAAAAATTAAAATTTGTAGTTATTTCCGGTGAAACCGGAAGTGACCGAAAACAATAGAATATGTCAACCAATCCTAATTTATCATATACTAACATACCAAATCTTATTGTTTTAACTGGAAAAATAAAATAGTTATAGGGGTGAACCACTTTTGAGACGCACCCGGTAGAGAACTAGAAGAAATATATCCGTTTTTTCTGTTTAAACTGACTTCCCATTTATTTATTGGACATTGCCATAAATGTTTAATTATTTATTTTGAATTACTAACGTCTATGTAACAATTTTTATCAAAAATATGTTGAGGATTTATCCACCGTGGTTACGTCTTAATTGAGCCATATTTTCTTTGAATCTCATTATGATTAATCTTCAAGCCTAGCCAACAATTTTCTAATCATATTTATAATATTTTATAAATGTTCGATTCTTTTTAGTAAATATATTTTATCTAATAAATTAAGTAGAACTAGCGCTAAGCACAAGTTTTAATAGCAACATTCTTAAATACTTTTTTAGACCACCGGTTAATTTTAATGAAGTTGTAGTAACATACATTTAAGGTATATATTACAGTAGTTAGCAAAACGTACGTCCAAGATTCGCAGATTTGTGTAATTTTGTGTTATAAAATCCATGAGATTCCAATGTAAATTCTCTGGTTTTACTAATTCAGTCATTTATATTTGAATGACCTTCTTCTGAACGCACAAGGGATTGATTGAATGATGTTCCAAAATCGTTGATCCCCATTTGATAAAATAATTATAAATTATCAGAGGAATGATTTTAGAAAATTTACCTTGCCGAGAAATATAACTGCTCATGTATCTATGTTTTATAGCTTATAACGGTTTATTTATATACCATTCGTCGTGTTTAATCTACTTTAGTAACCAAGCTGAGTGTAGGTAGTTAAAGTGGGATTATTATTACTACAAAACGTTAATAAGTGTACCAAAAATGGAAAAATATTTTATTTATTAAAAAAGAATGGGTATATAAAAAATCACAAAGCATTGCAAAAAAATAACAATGAGGATGAGTTATTTTCAAATATATTCAAATTAACACAAAATTAACTTGAAAAAATAAAAACGGTTTTCTGAAATGAGAAATTTCTCAAATTTATTGTATACCAGCTCAAGATAAAAAGTAAATAGGTGCCTCAAGAAAAAGTTATCTAAACTAATTTTAGTATGCTCTAACCTCTAACTAATGGTATTAAAAGTATGTTAAAATCTTACCACAGACTAAAAATTGAAAATCTTATAATAATTACAGTTGAGGGTTGGAACCTTTGGTGTTACACAGCAAAATAAAAACACTAAATCACCACAATACACCAAAACTGGTGTATTGTGGTGATTTAGTGTTTTTATTTTGACTTATAATAATACTTACTATTTTAATATAAAGGATTTTCAACGACTGTCGACATTTCCATCTGCGTAAAATGTTAATAAGCATCAATATACTGTATCTTCTAATATACAATATAATTTATTTTTTCTTACTAAAAAATGTGTACAGAGAGACATGCATATGTTGCACTGATACTGCCTCTTTCGTGTTTATTATATCGTCTTCTATTACCATAGGTAATGAAAATCTATTACACATTCCGAAGTGTACAATTACGCACAACCGTCGACTTGTTTATTATAGAAATCGAGATTAATTGACACACCCTATATTAATGTAGACC